TCGAGCATTGAGAATATCACCCGTAACCTGTTGTCTCCCATGGCTAGGTTTTACGGGAAGTGGGCCATCGACCACTTCCTAACCTCCGGAGAGGATGGACTAGGATACTGCCAGGGCGCCCAATCCTGACAGGAGAACGACTCGGGTCCTCAGCCAAAGCCTTGGATTAAATGAACACCCGAAAGGCAGCGGGTCTAGCACACGGTCAGTTAGCTGACTCATGCGGATTGGTGTCCTGGATCTTAGCAGGGAGAAGGGCGAAACCTAACTCCCACCCAACGGTCGCCACGTGGAGGCGCCCAGGACATGAGACTATGGCGCAACAGTAGCAGCAGTGGGTAGACCATCTGTCAGGATCTAGCCACCACCAGCCTCAGCGCACCATAGGCAGTTGAATGCCAGCTGAGCTACCAGCAACGGATACGCATCGTTCCGGTTAGCTACTAGCCGGCTACTAGGCAAAACCAAAAATTTAATTACGTTTTACCCTACGAAATAAGATCGTAGATGGAGGGGGAGGCTAAAGGGATGGGGAGGGACAAAGAAACTCACAGCAGGAACGCCACTGAGGTCGGCTCCTTGCCATATCAGCAAGTGTATCCAGCCAAACGTGTTCACCGTCTTTTGGACCCCAACCAGGGAGCCGTGAAGCTCCAACTGAGACCAGCTCCGAAGTGAGGGCCTTCATTCCTCTGGACCAAGTCATCGCTTGGCCACCTCTCCTCTTCTTCCACCCACATCCCCGGTGAGCAAACAACGCACGTCGAGGGAGTCGGTGGGCTGGCATGCGCAACACGTGGCCCAGCCATCGGAGCCTGGTGAGTGAAATGACGGTGCTGAGCGGTTCATTCCCTTTTCCTAGGCCGTAAACAAGACGTCGAACACGCTCGTTACTCACGCGGTGTTCCCACCAGATGTGAGCCAAACTCCGAAGTCACCGATGGTCGAACGTAAGTAGCCTCTTCATGTCCGCCGATCTTAGGGGCCAGGTTTCGCAAACGTACAGTAAGGTCGAACGTACCGCTGCATTGTACACTCTATCCTTCAGGGCGATGGCTGTGGTCTATCACAGTCCACTGATCCGCTGCTTGGACTAGTCGCCGCGTGTCCCCAACCACATGAGTCGTCCGCTGTTCCTGCTCATGGGCGATTTCAACATACTTAGACTGCAGCGGCCTTAGGCTGAACTTCTCACCGGCGATTGTGGAGTTGAGATGAAGTTCGCGTAGATATGTGAAACTGGGGCCACACAGCACATCAACCAGCCGACGCGCATAACAACGCGCGTGACCCCGTGCTCAGGCCTGCTATTGACCAATTATTAGCAACAAGTGCGAGACATCCTGGTCTTAGGGCCCATGGGAGCGGGTGACCACTCGATGCTCATAGCCAGCTTGGAGCTGCTGCTACTGCCGTATTCTCCTCCGCTGGAGCCAGCCTTCAACTATTGAAAGGCGGACTTTAATGGCCTCATTCGAGCTTCGAGCCAGCTGGACTGGCCGTTGCCAAAGGACTCATCTGTTGAAATTTTGGGCTATCATTATAAACAGTAAAAACCTTGTGCGCCTGATTCACACCCCTCAAAAACCAGAACGTTGGACCAGTCAAGCCACATTGGTTCGACAAGGAGTACAGCAAACTGGCTCGACAGCGACGTAGACTATAGAACAAATTCGTTTTGTTTGGACCTGACGAAGATTGCTAGGCGTACAAGAGACAGCGAAATCTCTGCAACAACGCGAAAACACAAGTGCTGCAACTTCGAAATGCAACTTTCAACCGCAGCGACAACTGTTCCCCTTTGAATCTTCGCCTACGTGAAGCGGCGCCTGAAGCCTACAGGCGATGTACCAGTGTTGGAGGGCTCAGATGGACAGCACCTAACCTCAAGCACAGATCGTGCGCCTGCATTGGCGGCGCACTTCGTTTCCGTACTTGCAGCTGACCAGGTGTGTGTACCGAGTTCGGCAGGTAACGCCCCTACTGAACTAGACAGCCTGAATTGCAGCATTGAAGATGTACGCAAACTGCTGGCCGGTCTTGACGGGACGAAGCCTGCTGGGCCAGGTGGAATCCACCCGCTGATCTTCAAGTCATTATCGGCCATCATCTCGCTTTCCGTGACTGAGCTTTTCAACAGGTCACTACCCACTGGTCCATTACCGAGCGACTGGAAATGCTTAGTTGTGAAGCCCATACCGAAAGGTGGTGACCCAAACAAAGGAGTAACGACCGGCGGATCTGCCTGACCACTGTTTTGGCAGACACTTGAGATCGTAAAGAAGTAACTACTGCAGTTTCTTGAGTCGGAATGCATCTTGACGCCCGCACAGCATGGTTTTTTGAAAGGTCGTTCATGCATCACCAACCTGGTATTGACGACACAAGAATGCTTGCAGGCGCTGAATCAGAGGAAGTCAGTCGACTTCATTTACCTTGAATTCAGTAACGCTTATAGCAAAGTTACTCATGGGTTCTTCCTCCATAGGCTGAGATTGTGCGGTCTTAGCGGTTCACTGCACCGATGGATGAAGAGTTTCCTTGTTGATCGAAATTGGAGGATCCAAATGGACAACCATCTGACCGACTAGTATCCCTCGAACAGTGACGTGCCCCAAGACACTGTACTTGGGCCCATTTTGTTTTTGATTTATGTACATGATGTGTCTCAGCTTCTACGTTCTCTTTGTGCATTTTTTGAAAATTACTTGAAGGCGTGGAGATTAATCAGCGCACCCGAAGACTGTGACCTTCCTCAGCGGGACCTTTGACTGCCTCTACATGTGGTTTGCAGAAGTAAACCTTCTGACAGACCCGTTCAAATCGCTATTCATGACTTTGTATAAGGGTGAACACGGTCTAACCTACACTCTGACTCATCAGTCGTTACATCCTGCACCTTTCGTGAAGGACCTCGGTGTACTCTCACGCTGCGCCCTAAAGTCCGTGGATAATAGGAATATGCTCTACCAAACTGGATTTCGTATGCTTTGGGCGCTCAAACGCAGCTTCAGCACCTGATCCGATGAGATTGCTAGTCCCCCCTTCGTCTCAATAATACGACAAATGCTAGAGTACGGCTCACCCGCATACTGTCTTGTCACCCGGGGCGAAGTAGAAAGGATTGCACGGGTACATGTTTTCACTAGGCTTATCCCCACTTTATGAGGTGTGCCGTACGAAGTCCGGTAAGAAACTAGGGCTTTACATCCTGTCTTACCGTCGAATGTGCGTTGATCTCATTAAGACGTACCGGACATCACATTTTTGTGATTACCTTATGTTGAGGCCGCCGCTCCATATGCGCAGACCGAGAAGCACACGAGGACATCGGTCCAAGCTTGTCGTA